CCTATTTAGCTCTTCTGCCCATTTTTTAATTGGGTTGCTTGTGTTTTTCTTGTAAAGTTGTTTCAGTTCCTTGTATATTATGGATATTAATCCTTTGTCAGATGTATATTTTGCAAATATTTACTCCCACTCTGTTGGCTGCCTTTTAACTCTGTTAATTGTTTCTTTCGCTGTGCAGAAGCTTTTTAGTTTGATATAATCCCATTTGTTTATTTTCCCTTTGGTTGCCCGTGCTTTGGGGGTCATATTCATGAAGTCGGTGTCCAGTCCTACTTCCTGAAGTGTTCCTCCTATGTTTTAAGAAGTTTTATTGTTTCAGGGTGTATATTTAATTCTTTAATCCACTTTGAATTCACTTTAGTATATGGTGAAAGGTATGGGTCTAGTTTCATTCTCCTGCATATGGATATCCAGTTATCCCAGCGCCATTTGCTGAAGAGGCACTCTCTTTCCCAGTGTATAGGCTTCATGCCTTTGTCAAAGATCAGACGGCTGTAGGTGTGCGGGTTGATTTCTGGATTCTCTGTTCTATTCCATTGATCAGTGTGTCTGTTTTTATGCCAGTACCATGCTGTTTTGGTCATCAGAGCTTTGTAGCATAGTTTAAAGTCAGGTAGTGTTATGCCTCCGGCTTTATTTTTTTTTGCTCAGCATTGCTTTGGCTATGCGTGGTCTTTTGTTATTCCATATAAATGGCTGGATACTTTTTCCATTTCTGATAAAAATGTCATTGGAATTTTGATGGGGATTGCATTGAATTTGTATATCACTTTGGATAGTATGGATATTTTCACAATGTTGATTCTTCCAATCGAAGAGCATGGGATATCTTTCCATATCCTTGTATCCTCTCTAATTTCTCTCAGCAGTGGTTTGTAGTTCTCATTATAGAGATTTATCACCTCCTTGGTTAACTCAATTCCTAAGTATTTTATTTTTTTGGTGGCTATTGTAAATGAGCAAGCTTTCTTGATTTCTCTTTCTGCATATTCACTATTGGAGAACAGAAATGCTACTGATTTTTGTGTGTTGATTTTGTATACTGTTACTTTACTGAAATCATTTATCAACTCCAAGAGTTTTTTTGTAGAGGCTTTAGGCTGTTCGACCTATAGGATCATGTCATCTGTAAAAGGGGACAGTTTGACTTCATCTTTTCCAATCTGGATGCCCTTTATTTCCTTCTCTTCTCTGATTGCTCTGGCTAGTACTTCCAACACTATGTTGAATAGGAGTGGTGAGAGTGGGCATCCTTGT